TTATATTTTTATTGATATATGTTTATAATGCATAATATTTCTATTTATTTTGGGGAATTGGGACATACACATATCATATCTCTATCATTTTCAATCTCCCCTTCCCTTTCCTTGATCCCCTTTCCTGTCTCCCTGTTTCCCACCTTTTCTTCTTTATTTTACTCTTTATTTATATTTTGGGTTTATCATATAAAAGAAACTATGTATGTTTAACTTTTTGTGTCTGACTTATTTCACTTGACATTATGGGCTTAAGATCCATCAATTTCCTGCAAATGACATGATTTCATTTTTCTTTATGGCTGAATAAAATTCCACTGTGTATATTTACCACATTTTCTTTACTCATTCGTCTGTTGATGGCCATCTAAGCTGTTTCTAGAGCTCAGCTATTGTGAATCGTGCTGCTATAAACATACACATGCATGGATTACTATGGTATGATGACTTTAACTCTTCCAGGAATATACCCAAGAGAGATATCGCTAATCAAATAGAATTTCCATCTTTGGTTTTTGAAGGAATCTCCATTCTGATTTTCATGGTGGTTGGACTAATTTACGTTTCCACTCACAGTGTAGGAGGGCTCCTTTTGGCCCATATTCTTGCCAGGATTTGTTGTTTTTTGTGTTCTTGGGGATAGCCATTCCCTTGGGTAAGATGGAATCTCAAAGGTGTCTTCCTTTGGATTTCCCTCATGGCCAGAGATGAGGAACATTTTTTAATATACTTTTTTGCCATTCAACTTCCTCATTGGAGAAGTATTTACTTAGTTCATTTGCCCATTTTTGATTGGGTCATTTGTTTTGAGGGGGGCTAATTTTTTGAGTTCTCTATATATTCTAGATATTAATCTTCTATTAGAAGAGTAGCTGGCAAAAAAAATTTCCCATTCTGTAAATTGTCTCTCCACTCTATTGATTGTTTCCTTTTCGGTGCAGAAGCTTTTTAATTTGATATAATCCCATTTGTTGTTTCTTGGATTATCTCTTTTGCTTCTGGAGTTCTGTTTAGGAAGTCCTTGCATGTGCAGATGCTGTGGATTAAAGTGTTTCTCTTGTGTTATCTTCCAGCAGTTTCAAAGTTTCTGTTTTTATATCTAGGTCTTTGGTCCACTTTGATTTGATTTTAGTACCAGGTGAGAGATACACGTCTAGTTTTATTCTCCATGTGGATAACCAGTTTTCTCAGCACCATTTGTTAAAGAGGCTGTCTTTTCTCCAGCCTGTTTTTGGCCCCTTTGCCAAAGGTCAGATGGCTGAAGGTGCATGGGGTTGTGTGTATGTCTTCTATTCTATTCCTTTGGTTTATGTGTCTATTTTTGTGTCAGTACTATGGTGTTTTTAATTATTGTAGCTTCTCAATATAATTTGAAATCTAGGATTGTGATGCTTCCCATTTTGCTCTTTTTGCTCTGGCTATCTGGATCTCTTCTAGTTCCATAGAAATTTTAGAATATTTTTTCTAGTTCTGTAAAGAATATTGTTGGTATTTTAATAGGAATTATGTTAAACCTATATATTGCTTTTGGTAATATGGCCACTTTAACAATGTTGATTCTGCCTATCCAGGAGCAGAGGAAACCTTCCTATTTTCTTTTCTTTCTTTTTTTTTCTTTTTCTTTTTCTGGTACCTGGGATCGAACTCAGGACCTTGTGCTTGTAAGGGAGGCATGGTGCCACTGAGCTACATCCCTGGGCCTTCCCATTTTCTAATGTTCGCTTGAATTTCTACAGCACGGTAGTTTACATGATGGAGGACTTTCATCTCGTTGGCTAGGTGATTTCTAGGTATTTAATTCTCTTTGAGGTTACAGTGAATGAGATTATTTTCCTGATTTCTTACTTTGTGAGTTCATTATTGGTGTAGAGGAATGCTATTGAGTTTTGTGTGTTGATTTTTCCATCCTACCACTTTGCTGAATTTGTTTATTAGCTTTAAGAGACTTCTGGTGGTCGGGCCAGGGATTTAGCTCAGTGGTTCTGCCACCTGCTGCGCAAGCGCAAGGACCCAAGTTTTATCCCCGGTACCAAAAAAAAAAACAGAGAGACTTCTGGTGGCATTTTGGGGTTTCCTATGTAAAGGGTTATATCATCTGCCAATGGAGATAGTTTGATTTCTTCCTCTCTTGTTTGTATTCCTTTTTAGTTCTTTCTCTTACCTGATTCTTCTGGCCAAAGTTTTGAGTACTATAATGAAGAGGAGTGGTGAGAGTGGACAACTTGTTTTGTTCCTGATTTTAGAGGGAATGCCTTCAGGTTTTTCCCATTTAGTATGGTGTTCGGTATGAGTTTGTCATCAGTTGGTTTTATCTGTTTTCTATACCTATTTTCATCGAGGTTTTTAATCATGAATGGATGTTGGATTTTGTCAAAGGCTTTTTCTATACCTTTTGAGATGACTATGTAATTTTATCCTTAATTCTATTTGTATGGTGCATTATACATAAATTACATTTATTGATTCTTTTTGTTGGCTTCTTTGAGACAGAGTCTTGTTATGTAGTCCAGGCTGTCCTGGAACTCACAATGTAGCCCAGGCTGGCCTCAAATTCACTATGATCCTCCTGGCTCAGCCTCCCAAGTGCTGGATTACAAGTGTGCACCACCATACCTGCCTCTACATTTATTGATTTACATATCTTGTATCATCCTTGCATCCCTGGGATGAAACCAACTTGGTCTTGATGCATGACCTTTTTAATGATTTGTCAAGTTCTGAAGAATTTTGAAAGTTCTGAAAATTGGAGAATTTTGCATCTATGTTCATCAAGGATATTGGCCTGTAGTTTTCTTTTGTGTGTTTGGGTTTTAGTCCACTTTTGGTATTAGGGTAAAGCTGGCTTTGTAGAGTGAGTCTGGCAATGTTCCTTTCCATTCAGTTTCATAGAAGACTTTGAGGAATATTGGCATTAGGTCTTCTCCAAAGAGCTGTTAAAATTCAGCAGTGAATCCTTGGAGTTGGTAGAGTTTTTGTTAGTGCATCAGTTTCATTGCCTGTTAGTGGTCTGTTCAGGGTTTTTATATCTTCTTGGTTCCATTTTGGCAGGCCACATGTGCCTAGGAATTTAGCCATTTCTTTCAGATTGTCTAATTTATTAGAATATAAATTTTCCAAATAGTTTCTTATAATTCTCTAGATTCTAGACCATAATGGTATCAGTTATAATTTTACCCTTTTCATTTCAGATTACATGGCTATGGGACTTTTCTTTCTTTTGGTGAGTTTGGTTAAAAGTTTATTATTTTCAAAGAACCAACTTCGTGATTCATTGATCCTTTGTATTTTATTTAGTCTCAATTTCATTGATTTCTGCTCTGATCTTTGTAATTTCTTTCCTTTGATTAGTTTTGGGTTCTTGTTTTTCTAGGACCTTGAGATGCAAAATTAAGTTATTTAGCATAGGTGCTCACAGTATGAACTTCCTATTACAACTGGTTTCTTTTGGTGTGTCCCACAGATTCTGATATGTTGTACTTCCAGTGTCATTTCATTCTAAGAATTAAAAAATTTCTTCCTTGTTTTCTTCTATGATCTACTGGTCATTCAAAAGTGTATTATTCAGTATGCCTGTGTTTGTGTAGCTTCTGTTGGGTTTTTTAAACTACTGATTTCTAGTTTTATTCTATTGTGATGCAATAGGATGCAAGGGATTACTTTCTTTTGTATTTATCGAGACATGCACTATGGCCTAAAATATGGTCTGTTTTGGAGAAAGTCCTGTGCACAGCTGATAAGAATGCAGTCTGCTGTTGTTAGATGGAATACTCTATGATGTATGTTAAGCCCATTTGTTCTGTGATATAATTTAACTCTGATATTTCTTTGTTGATTTTTTCCTCTGGTTGCCTTGTCTATTTGTTAGAGTGGGATATCGCAGGTCCTCATTATGATTGTATTGGTATCTGTTTGTTCTTTTATATCAAGTAGTTTTTGTTTTACCAAATTAGGTGTTTTATTAGACATTCTGTGCATATGTATTTATAATTTTTATGTCTTCCTGGTAGATTGTACATTTTTACCAAAATTGTACATTTTACCTTCTTCGTCTCTACTGATCAGATTTGGTTTGAAGTCAATTTTAATCAAAATTAGAATAGCTACTCTTGCTTGCTGCTGGGCTCTGGATGCACGAAGTATCATTTTCTACCCTTTCACTTTCAGTCTGTGTGTTTCTTTGTGGATGAGGTGTGTCTCTTGCAGCCAATGTATATTTGTTTTTTGGGTTTTTTGAGGGTTTTTTTTGGTACCGGGGATCGAACTTGGGACCTTCACTTGTGAGGCAGGAGGCGGAACCACTGAGCTAAATCCCCAGTCCTATAATGAATAATTAAACCAATGGAAAATAAAAAGTAATTAGCACTGGAAAAATAATGCAATAACAGGCATCAGTAAATACTGTTCAATAATAACTCCTAATATAAATGGTTTTAATCCCCCAATCAAAAGACACAGGCAGGCAGATTGGATAAAAAAAAACAAAACCCAGGGCCAGGTATTTATCTCAGTGGTTCTGCCACCTGCCTCGCAAGCGCAAGGTCCCGAGTTCGATCCCCGGCACAAAAAAAAACAACCCAAATATACTCTTTAAAAGAAACCGAGTCTTTCTTTTGGGCCCTTGGGTGATATTGACCTCATTGTCTCTGTTTAGGATTTCCTCAAGTTTTTTCTCTTTTTTTGGGTGATTCTTTGTATTTTATTTCATTTATTAATTTTTATTAGTACATATTTGCCATCCATCCCATCATAGAGAATTTGTACCTATACATATCTCTCAAGTATTTTCTGCAATGCTGGTTTGGTGGTCACGAACATCTTTAGTTTGTCTTTGTTATGGAAGGTCTTTATTTCTCTGTTTTCTTTTTGTTTTTTTGTTTTTTTGGTACCAGGGATCAAACTCGGATCCTTGCGCTTGCGCAGCAGGCGGCGAAACCACTGAGCTAAATCCCCGGCCTCTTTATTTCTCTGTATATTTTGTTTTTTTTTTTTTTTTTTGAATGGACCCCAGGATTTAATGGAAAAACATTCTGTACAGAAAAGTTTCAGGCTTCTAACTTCACTGAATCCAAAACTAAACGTGCTTCTTTATATTCTTCAGCTTCTTCCAAATCTTTTTTACTTTCTAATATTTGCTGAAGATCAGTAAAAGCCACCTCTAACCTGCGCTGGCAATCTGGGATCATCGTCTGGGACTCTTGCAGGATCTCTGCCTGCTTTTTAATGGCATAATTTTTGCCATCTTCAGCTTTCATTTTTTAAAAATTTTTTATTTGTATATATATTTATTGGTACATTTTAGGTATAAAATACATTTACATGTATCATTGGGTGTTTGTACCAGAACGTGATGTATCTTAGTTTTTATTTTTTCTCCCATTACCTGTGCACCCTTCATCCCCTCCACCCTTCCCTATTTACACAGAGTTTGATTCCATTTTTTTTTCTTTCTCATAATTTTTCCTTTCCCTTCTTTCCTTTCCCCTACCCCTCCCACCATCCCCAAACCCTTGGGCCTTTTCTTATTTCAAATTATCAATTATTCATTTTAATCATTTTCATCCTTATTTACACTTTCATTTTCTCACACTAGAGAAACGATTCGGTATTTACACATGTGTGTCCTATTTATTTCACGTAAGAGGATGGCCTCAATATGCATCCATTAAGCTATAAATGTTTCTAGTTTCTCATTCTTTATGGCTGAGTAGTACTCCATTTTATAGAAAACCACATCTTCTTTGTCCAGTCTCCAGTCGATGGGCACTTGGGCTGTCTCCAAGCTTTAGCTGTTACGCACTGTGCCGCTATGAACATGGGCGCACATGTATCGCTGTGGTCGGATTCTATTAATTCTTTGGGGAAGATCCCCAGCCGGGGAATTTCAGCTTTCATTTTTTCAATCTTTCCTTCTTGTTGCTGTGCTTCTTTTTCGTACATCGCTTTTTCTTTGACCAATCGCTTCACTACGCCGGCCTTGATCTTGATCTGACTCAAGCGAGGATCGGCCATGGTTCTCTGTGCATTTTGAAGAATAATTTTGGATTGACAGTTATTTTCTTTCAGGGCTTGAAAGACTTCCCCCAAATCTTTGGGGTTGCCTTTGTAAGTTACTAGATGTTTTTCACAGCTAGTTTTAAGTATCTCTCTTTGTTCTGAGTATTTGGGAGTTTGAATATGATGTGTTGTGGAGAGATTCTTTTCTGATTGTGTCTGTTTGGGTTTCTAAATGCCTTATTTTCCTGGGTATAACAGTCATTACCTAGATTTGGAAAAATTTCTGCAATGATTTTAGTGAATACATTTTTATGCTATTAGATTCTAATTCTAACCCTTCCTCAATCCAAATAACACTTAGGTTTGTTGTTTTAGAGTCATCTAGGAGCTCCTGGATCATCTTCAGATTGTCTTTTGTTGTGTTTTGAGTATCACTGAGTAAATGATCTAATATATCAACCTTGTCCTCGAGTCCTGATAGTCTATATTCTGACTGATCATGCCTACTGTCAAAACTTTCAATTGAATTTTTTATTTCTGGGATTTCTGCCTGATCCCTTCTCATACCTCCTAATTCTTCACCTAAGTAGTCTTTCATACCCTACACTTCTTCCTTAATACATTCAACTGCTTGTTTCTTCTTTAAACTTGTTTGCAGTACTAGGGATCAAACTCAGGACCTTGTGCTTTCAAGGCAGGCGTGGTGCCACTGAGCTACATCCTCGGCCCTCTTCTTTAAACTTGTTGACTATCTTAGTGAATGCTTCATTCAGCTGCTTACTTATATCTTCTTTAAGTTGGTTGATCATCTTAGTATTTATTTCACTTAATTACTTGTCTTGTCTTAATCTTGTCAATCACTTGTACTGTTTGTGTCTGGAAATTCACATCAGGATTTATGAGACCTGTTTGGGGAAGTTATAAATTTTAGAAGAGGGATGGACAAAACCCTGAGCCAGGACTGTTTTTGACTGTCTCTCACCACCCTCGGTATTTGTCATTTCTGCCCTGGCTCAGTTGCCCCAGCCTCTCTCTGGGTCACAATAAGCTTATTACTCTGTGCTGCAGGGACACAACAAACCTGAGCTTGGGCTATCTGGGTCTGCAGTTGTGACATCTAGCTCTGCACTGGTTCTCTGTACTTCTCTCTGGCCCACAGAACCCACTATAAGTGGGACCCTCTTTGCACACATATACCAGTCTCCGTGTCCTTGTGTCCCAGTGGGAAAGCATCTTGGATCCACTTGCCCTGTGGTCAGTCCTGGCTATGACAAGCACTAAGCTAGCTTCCACCTCCAAGGGTTTTAACCTCTGGGGTATTTCCTATGTTTTCTTTTTTTTTGGTACCGGGGATCCAACTCGGAACCTTGAGCTTGAGAGGCAGGTGCCCAAACCACTGGGCTAAATCCCCGGCCCTATTTCCTATGTTTTACAAAACACAAGCTTCAAATTCTTCTAGCATTATGTTTTGCTTAGAGTGATGGCTGGAGAGTGTGTCTGTCCTGCTCTCAGCTACTGGGCTTCCCTTTATGCTTAGGCCTTGGAGAGAATGTTTATCCACGCTTTTACTTTTTCCTCCAGTGGTTACTTGTTCCTGGACACCTGCTAGCCTGCTAAAGAGTGGAGAAGTTAGGGTTTTGTTTGTTGTTCACCTTCACCCTTAGGCAGGTGTAGGCTTTCAAGGATGGGGCCTGCTCAGTAACCTTGCCTCTCTCCCAGCAAGAGCATCTTTAGAGGTCTGTTTCAGGACAGCTTCCTGCTCCTGCACCTTTTTGTTTTTTGTTTTTTTTTTTGGTACCGTGGATCGAACTCAGGACCTTGCGCTTGCGAGGCAGGTGCTGGAACCACTGAGCTAAATCCCTGGCCCAACTTGCTCCTTCCCCATGGGCAGAGGTTATTTTATGTTCTCTTCACTCAGCTACAATGGGCTTTGACCTGTGGCCTGAAAGTGACAGAGTTTTCTGCCCTTCCCTCCTCTGAGTTCTTTTTTTGGGGGGTGGGATGGGAAACAGAGTAGAAAGCCCAGGCCAGACTTCCCCAAGACTGCAAGGCTTTCTGTGGTCTCTTGACTTGCCTCTAATCTTCCTCATAAACAGCCCAGGAAAGTTTGGAGAGAAGGGCCTGCGAGGGGTTGCAAATTTACTTCAAGTCTGCAGCTCCTGAAAGTTTTGTGTCTTCCACTAGGCCACTGTCTGCCTTCACGTATGGAAGGTCAGCTGACTGCCACCGTGGACAATACAGAGGAAATGATGCTGTGGAGGGGCTGGTTATTTATTACTCAATGGAAGAGGTTTTAAAGTAGCAATCCTAAATTTTAGTTTCTTGGATTAAGAGCTTCTGTGATTTCTCAGCAATGGTTTCATACTCCTTGAAACAAAGGATGTAGTTGAAAATAAGGGTGGTGTACAAGGATTTTGATGTAGCTGAAAATAAGATGTAGTGTCTGATCTTTTGGGTGGTTGAATTTCAACATAAATCGAATTAACAGCTTCATCAGAATTGTTACTTAGAAGTTAGAGAATGGGTTGGGAAAGAGTGGAACCCTGAACATTTAGACGGAGCGCATCTGGATAGATTTGGGAGACCTTCACCCAGTCGTGTTGACCCCCCCCTTCCCAACAGATGCAGTGCCTCTTGTTTGATGAGGGTGTTCGTCTCTACTTCAGTGACACTGTCACAACTTCCTCTGAGGAGAGTACGTTATAAGGGCACGGCATTCTCTGTCTGTACCGTCACAGCCAGTCTGGATGTTGTCTCCTGGCTTCAGCGAACTCTTCAGCCTTCCATCGCAGAGCCTTCGGCCTCCTGATACTGACTCACACGGGACAATACAGTGAGCCCCAGGCCTCCGGCTGGATCCTTCAGATCTCCAGCACGCAGGCAGACTTTTCCCCTCTTCCACACCCGACTCTGTGGGCAGCCGCTGTAAGCCAATCTTGTAAATTTATATATATACAGTGGTACCTCAGTTCATGAAAGCTTTTGTTTGCAAACAATTTGGCTCACAAACAAAACTGTTTGGCAAAACTGTGTTTTTGTTTGCAAACCCTGCATCCGGTGACAAACATGACTGTGGCCATCTTTCCCACAGAAACACAAATTTAGCCATCTTTTCCAAAATTGTAGTGTTGTTGGGTAGTTCCTTTAAAAGTGGCTTGTCAATTAAAAGTATTCCAGATCCCTTTTTCCCTTGAGCAAAGAATTGCACGAGACAAGCCAAAAATGGTGTCAAAAGTTTATTTGAAAAATGAGGGGTGAAGAGGTAAGGGAAGAATTAGCTCTGTAGAGCCAACTTGGGCTGAATAAAAGCAAGGATAGTAGCAAAAGTAAAAGAGCACTTCTGCATCCAGAAGATGCAGAGGAGTCACAGTAGCGGGCTCCTTGTGGCATCTGGTCCCCTTTTATACCATGCACATCTCATGGGAGTCCTCAAAAAGTCTACTTACGGGGTCCTGAGAATCATCTGACCACCTTGTGATCTCGCAGTTGACAGGTCCCCCCCATTTGTCCAGCCAGCTTTGCTACGCCCCCTCCCATATCAGTAGAACAAATTAAGTACCACTATATTTGTATATCTTGCATTAAATTTGTTTCTCTAGTCAGCACTGACTGGTATAATATATAAGAAGGTACATATGAAATATGGCTGTTTTTAATATAACTCACAATTAGACAGGAGCAATGAACTATTATTAGGAATGTCTCTGAAGTACTTCTAGTCTTTAGAATAACAGAGCTTCTGAATAATTTCCTCCAACTAGCTTTTCATTTTGGTGTATAACTTGATGAACACAACGCATTTGAGCTGCCTTGTTTTTTTGTACTGAGGATTGAACTCAGGACCTTGTGCTTACAAGGCAGACGCAGATGGTGGCACCACTGAGCTAAATCCTGGCCCTGAGCTGTCTTTTAGCAATTTATTCTAACAACTGCATTTCACCCTCAATAAGGGTTAGAGTTATGGTCTCAGACAATTACAGTATATAAAGCACTTTAAAAAAAGTTTCCTTTCACTGAACTGAAGACTTTTTCCACTTATGTGCCTGTGGAAATTAATTTGAGCAAACATACATGTACCAGCGTACATAGGCATGCATGTACAAGTTCCGTTTACTATTAGGATAGAATCATAGGCTAACAGGACGGTCTGGAGAGCAGCCTGGTCTTCCTTAGCAACCCTCCTGTCCCTGGAGGAAGGGAGGTATAGTTTGCTGGGAGGAGAGGGCTGTGGGGAGTTTTATCTTCACCTGTAGACCCCAAAGTGCCGGTTAGCTCAACATTATCTCCCCTGGAGAAAGCTCAAGCAATAGTTTCTGTGCCTCTACTCTCCCTGAAAATAGACATACGCTTTCATTCCAGCATCTCTCTCCTTTCTGACTGCTGGAACTTTAATTCTGCAAAGAACTCTGCTTCATGGGCCCAGCTGTGAAAGCCATTTCCATGCACATGCGGCCCTGTCGTGCTCTTGTGCTGTGTCTGGGGACCTGCCAGTGCTCACTATCTATCGAGACCAGGGTCAAACGTTACAGGTCACCCACTCCATTCCCAGATGCTGCAGGAATTGGTACAGTCTTGTCCAGGTCTCCTGCAGTCTCCCTGAAGGCTGATCTCCTGCTGGGACCCTTCCTCTGATGTGTTTCCAGATGGGAGTTAATGTCTTCTTTGATGTAAGGAAATATCAAGTCGTCATGAGAACAATCGGGGCTGTGGTACCTTTGCTATCTAGCACGATCACAGTGCCTTCTTCATTGGCCACGGAAAGCCTGACCACCTCCCTCCCAGGTTCTCCTACACGAGTCTGTCCACTGGTAGGAGGCTCAGAGGGCAGCACTGGCTGTCCTCACAACTGTTTTGGGCTGACCAGAGCCCCCCCAAACAATCTTCAAGCTGGTGACAGTGTGCAGCCCACAGCACATGGCAGAAGCCACCTCCATGGAGCTGTAAGTGGAGATACAGTTTGCTGGCTCAGGCAGGTAGGGGTGATTCTACAGGTCGTGATAGAAGAAATATGGTGA